CATTCCCTGGGAGCTTATTAGAAATGCAGACTCTCAGGCCCAGCCTGCCACCTACCTTTTTCAAGACCCCAGGGGGATTCCAAAGCACTGAGAATATGAATGATCTGCCCAGAGGCTGAGAAAGTCTAGAGGCCCTGCAGGCTGGGGTGGGAGGGGGTGTTTCCTCCAGCCTTTGCCTCTAGAAAGGGTTCTGGGGGGTAGGAGTGAGCAGCAGGGTGGGCCTTTCAGGTGGTGTCTGCAGTGTCTTCTCCACCCTCAGGTCTAGGGGACAGGGCCAGGAGAAGTATCTGGGAAAGCAAGACACCTTCAGCCCACCTTCTGCCTTATGTTTTGCAGATCAATTTCATCTTATTTATAAACATTTTAAGAATCCTGATGAGAAAACTTAGGACTCAAGAAACAGGAGGAAATGAAGTGAACCAATATAAGTAAGTGGAAAGCAAAGACCCAGGCATGTTCTGTCTGTCAGCAAGCATTTACAGAGTACCTACTGTTTACTCAACTGTTTCCAGAAAAAGAAAGAAAAGTGATAGACCGAGTTCCAGTGAAATGGTGGGGATGGGCCTGATTATGAAGCCCCAGACACTGTGGTGTGGGAAAATCAAGAAATCTCAGCCAGGAAGTCTGGAAGCAGAGATGTGACCCTTAAGGCCAGGCGAGGGACCCCGATTCAGACAATCTGTGTAGCTGTGCATGTTGTTCAAGAGAGAATAACCTTAGCTCTCATCACATTTTTCAGGTATATCAAAAATACTTAAAAACTTTTTAAGATGTTAAAGAAGATGTGTTAGTCTGCCAGGGCTGCCATAAGAAAATAACCACAAACTAGGGGCTTAACAACAGAAATGTACTTTCCCACAGTTCTGGAGCCTGGAAGTCCAAGATCAAGGCTAAATGTCTTCTGAGGTGTCTCTGTAGCTTGTAGATGGTCACCTTTGCCCTCTATCCTCACGTGGTCTCTTCTCTGTGCACAGGCATCCAACACTGTGGGCCCAAACTTCCTTTTCTCATAAGGACACAGTTGGATTGAACTATGGTCAATCCTAATGGCCTCATTTTAACTTGATCACCTCTTTAAAGACCCTGTGCCAAAATACGATTGCATCCAGGGGGTCTTAGCTTCAACATATGAGGCAGCAGCCTCCAAGATAGGATATGGTAAAGACAAGTTAGCGTCTAATGGAGTCTTTCTCCATGATCTGTTGAGTTCTGAGAGTCTCGCAGTAGCCAGGATCCTGTCAGACTCCCCACGACATCCCTGGAGCGACAGGCTCTGAAGTCAGGTAGAGCTAGAGGTCAGGGTAAAGTTACCAGATAAAATTCAGGATGCCCAGTCACATTTGCATTTTGGATAAACAACAAATAGTTTGGTTTTTTTTTTAAGGACTTATTCCCTCTAACTTTCTCATTGTGTATATGAAATTCAAATTCGACTGGGTATCTTGTATTTTTATTTGCTAAAGTTGGCGACACTGATCTTGGAAGAAAACACAAGAACTTCTCCTCATAGGTATGTATTACCTAAGAAAACAAAGCTGGGTGTGCTCAGCTTAAGTTAGACACAGAGTGACTGTCACACACATATATATAATTTATAAGCAAAAGTTATTTGAGAGCCTGTTTATGTATTTACTGATGAGACCCATAATCAGAAAGTCCTGGGATAGATCACGTGTTGGCGAGTGTTGTGTCTTGAGTGCAGGGTGCGTGGGAGTTAGGAATTTTCCAAAATGATGGAAACAGGAGCTGGGGGCCTGGCTCAGTGGGAGAACGCTTGCCTGGCATGCGAGGTTTGATCCACAGCACGACACAACCAAACAAAAACAAATGAAAAAAAATTTTTTCAGAAAAACAAAATAGTTCAAATGGGCACTAGATGAGATGTGCCCTTACTGACAGGAAAGGGGCCAGAGGGAGGCAGCACAGGAGTGACAGTGTGTCCCTGTGTCCCCAGGCGCCTGGCCAAGTCCACCCTCCTGCTGATTCCCCTCTTCGGTGTCCACTACATCGTCTTCGCCTTCTCCCCCGAGGACGCCATGGAGGTCCAGCTGTTTTTTGAATTGGCCCTTGGCTCATTCCAGGTGAGCTTTGGGGTCTGTGGCTACTGGTGAAAAGGGCCAGATTTCTATTTCCTCAGAGAGAAGCAGAGAGCCCATCCGTGACAGCAAGCAGCCAGTGCTGATGGTCATTGGTGACTTGGGAAGAGACCTCATTTGGTGGAGACCCATAGGACTGCCTGTGCTTTGTGACCCTGAGTGGGACTCGAAGTCCCCACCAGTCAGTGAGGGTGGGAGATGAAACTCAGAGACTGACTGCAGGGAACACAAAAACGAAAAGCCACCCAGCACTCTGAGTTCAACTCTCCATACCATCTGCAGACTCATTAAGGCAGACACCCCAAAGCCTGCAGGAGGATGAGCCCGGTCAGTCTCCTCCTCTTCATACTGGGAAGAACATAGAAAATCCCCAAACTGAGAAATCCACAAGTAGCAGCATCAGCATATTTATTTAGAATCAGTTAAGAGAGTTCAAGTTGCCTTGGAGCAACAGGAAATGGGGGCGGGGTTGTCAGGAGACTATTGATTTTTTACAAAATAAGAATTATCTGACTTTTAAAAGCCATGTGCATGTGCAACTTATTAAAAACAAAATCTGGTAAGAAAAAAAAAAGAAAAAAGGGGGGGGGGGGGGGGGAGAAAAAGGAGAGAGAGAGAGAGAGAAAGGAAGGGAAGGAGGGAGGGAAAATCACCTACCTAGGAATCCTATATGATGTTGTGAGGTTAGAAAAGGAAACAGGTTCAGGTAGAAGGGAGTCTTAATGCAAATCCCAAACTTTACAATGATTATTTGTTTATTTAATCACAAATTTTCTTAAAAAAAAAAAAAAACCAAGGTGATGTCACTTTTGAGAAGAACAGTGGTCCCTTACCACTCATAGGTTCCAAGGAGGACACACAACTGGGAGCACACCATTGCCTTCCTGTGCCTTCAGACCCCACTCCAGCATGTCCCTTCTGCCTCCTCTGAGCAGCAACTCTGCCTAGGGCCCCTGCCAATGTCCCAGACCTGCAGAGGAACAACCTTCTGGTGTATATGACCCATGGTTCTCTTCCTCCTGGCTCCTGGGCCCCAATTCAGCACTTAAGAGCCACTTGTGAAGAAGGACTTGACCTGGCTCACGAAAATGGTAGTGACCATGTGGAAAGCTGGAAGACCAGATCTGCTTTACCACACAGATGGGGACTTCCTGTCCCTCAGAGTTGGGGCTATAGACTACCTAAGCAAAAGCCATTCAGCTTCTCTATGGGAAAATGTTCACGAGAAATCCAAAAGCACTTTCCTGATGTTCCCACAGAAATTCTTATGAAGAAAAGGATTATTAAGATTGTATAGGGCTGGGATATAGCTCAGTTGGTAGAGTGCTTGCCTAGCATGCACAAGGCCCTGGGTTCAATCCGCAGCACCACCAAAAAAGAAAAAAAAAAGTGTGTATTTGTAAGTATAGTGTATACAGTCTTATATGTATGAGGTAGGTAACAAAATACACACACACACACATATATATATATATATATATGAAAGAAATTTTCACATATGTATATATAAAAGTGAAGAGAACAGATTGAGCCCTCAGGTACCGGTCCTGCAGCTTAGCAATATCTATTCATGGCCGTTTTTACTTCCTGTCTATTTTTACAGATAACCCCCCATCTTTTTTTTCTTTTGAGATGAGATCGTGCCAAGCTGCCCAGGCTGGCCTCATACTTGGGGTCCTCCTCCCTCAGCCCCTGGCATTACAAGTGTGCATCACCATGCCTGGCTGTGCCCTTATCTTTTTAAGTAAATCCAAGACATCATTTTCTTTTCTTTTCTTTTTCTGTGGTACTGGGAATTAAACCCAGGAGAGTACTGTGAGGTGGTCAGCACCTCATAAGGTAATTTTTCCTGCTCAGGAGGGGATAAGCCACCTGAGAAAAATATAGTAATTAGTGAAGGGATAAAAGACAAAGTCAGAATTAGTTTTAAAAGCAGAGCACCTGAAAGATTCTTCCAGTCCTGATTAGGAACTGGAACAGAACAGCTAGAAAATGGCCTGTTTATTTAAGGGGGTACATCAAAGGCAGGGATAAGGTTTCAGGGGTGGAGCCTTGCTTAGGTGTCTTACAGTCAACAGGTTGATTGGCATCTTGCCAGGCCACACCTCTCTCTGAGAGACTGTGTGGCTATGTGGCTGCAGCAGGTCACCCCATCTTCGGAGCTGTGTGGAACCCGGCAAAGCTGAATAGGAACTCATATGGTCTTACCAGCTGGATTCCTGCTGCAAGTGTCCCGATATCAGCTTTTCCTATTCACTGGCTATGATGCCAGTTTGGTCCGTGCACAGTTCATGGATGGCTCCTGACAGGGAAGCTCTGAAAGACAGGGGTTTAAAGAACACACACAACGCAACACCATTATCCCTCTCATAGACTTATTAAAACTAAATGCATTAACTCTTTCTGATTGTATAAATAATACTTGCTTATTATAGATAATTTGGAAAACAAGGAAAAGTAAAAATGAAGAAGAAAAAGGGCTGACCCTGAGCTCTATCTCCAGTACTGCCAAAAAAAAAAAAAAACAGGAAAAGACCACTTCTTCATGTCATTAAAATTTGGCTAGTCTTCATTGTTAATGATTGCATAATAACTAAAATTTAGTAAACTTGCTGGCCATGTGTGAGGCCTGCCCTATCTACAGTTGGGTGCAGCTAACTTTTCTTCACCCAGAATTCCTGCCCTCCCCTTAACAGTGAAAAGGTGTCTTTGGACCCAGGACAGGTAAGGTCTGGGTGACCTGGGTCTATGAAATGGGCAGCCCTTCAGCTAGACCACCAGCTCTGGGCCACACATGCACAGTTCTTCTTGCTGGAAGGCCCCTCACCCATAAAGTGGCGGTCCTCCTACCTCCCACCCAGGCTTTAGTGAAGATTGAATGAAGCACCGAAGAACCCAGAATCCCACAGTTACTCAGGGAAAGCTGTGCTGCAAATCCAGGTCCATATATACCAAGCCCATCACAGCCGATTTACCTGCCGGGCATGTTAAAATTACACAGCCTGCCTTCACATGCCTTTCCCTCCTCTAACAGTGTGCTTCAGCCAGTCCCAATGTCTGGCAATCTTGTTTTTTGGGGGACTAGGGATTAAACCCCAGGGTACTCTACCATGAGCTACATCCGAGACAGGGTCTTGCTAATGTGCCCCCAAATTTAGAAGCCTTGAGCAAGCATTCCTGCCATTCCATGAGGTGGGCAGCAGCTCTGGGCCAAGCACACAGAGTTCCAGTCTTGCTGTCACTGCAGCAGTCATTGATGCCTGACATTCTAAAGCAAACCCATGTAGTTTTGTCACTGACTCATTAAAATGCCATTATCTCAGGACTGCGCAGGTAGCTCAGTGGTAGAACATATACTTAGCATGCATGTGGATTCAATCCCCAGCACACATACACACAAAAGCCTATATATATATATATGTATATGACCGAGGAGTCATATGTATACCAAGCCCATCACAGAGGAGCTGTGTCATCACTTTTGGGGTCATTTCCCGTGTGGTAAGTAGCTAAGGGCAAGCCTGCGTGGGAAGAGGGCTGAAGATGAGCGCCTAGGCTTCTAATGAGGGACGAGGAAGAGCACCAGTCGGGGCAGGGGTATGGGAAGTCCTCTAAGGAAGGGCAGGCTGACCAAGGTGTACTCTTCCCCATTTATAGATCTGCAGGCCTCTTTAACTTGACTTAGGCACCCCCAGACTGGCAGAGCTCCAAGGACACCATCAGGAAAATCCAGCTCCTTCCAGGGCAGGAGGGTCCAGATAGGCCCAGACCTCCCAGGCCAGGGAACATGAAACCCTGACTATGGAGATATACTCACCTGTCTCCTGGGCAAGAGGCCAAGTCCTGCTGTTGGCTGGCCTGGGCCTGTACGTAGTTTATTCCAAACACATATTTGTTCTTCAACATGAACTAGTCCTCCAGGTTTTAGTGTCTTCAGATTCCTAGCTTAGCTCAGAAATAAGACCACTCTAGGCCCAGGGTCTCCCACTGGACTGGCCCTGCCCCTTCACAGTGGGGCAGCAGCATACATCCTGCTGCTCTTAGATGGCTCACTTGATTCAGGTGAGGTTCCTGGTCCCTGCTGGCTGGGTTCAAGTTAATCCCCTAAATTACAGTCACCGAGTGTGTTTGAGGCACTAGATGACAGGGACAACAGGATGAAAGGCATTCACAGTCTGTGCTGGATGGTGCAGGCCCAGGCAGGCACATTGTGTGGGCCCAAAAGAGGTGATACCCCTAAATCAAGGGAGATGGGGAAGTGAGCCTGGAGTTGGGGATCACAGGACTCAGACTGGAGGTCAGAGGAACTGTCCAGGCCCTGCTGCCCCAGGCAGATGCTGAGGCCCTGCAATAACACCTGCTCTCTCTGGCAGGGGCTGGTGGTGGCCATCCTCTACTGCTTCCTCAACGGGGAGGTGAGTCTTCTTGGGCTGCCACTGGATTCCAGGGCAGGAGCTACCTAGATCCAACGAGGGATGAAAGGGCTATTTGTGGAGGGTGGGTATGTGGGCTGCATGGCCAAGGGGCTTGACCAGCCTTCTAGGAGTCTAGTCTTGCTAAGAGCAGCCGATTTACCTGCTGGGCATGTTAAAATACTTCCCAGGCCCTGCCCCCAAATTCTGGTTGAGCAAAAATTTATTCTGTGGGTCCAGGCTGGGTCCTGAGAAAGTATTCCTTAACAAACACTCCAGAGGATTCTTATCCATGGGTAAGTTTTAAAAACTTGGGGGAGTATAGATAGGCACCCAGTGAGAACCCAGGCTCTGGTCTGATCAGCTGCTTGTTCCATGGCTGATCTGGGTCACAGCCCCTCTCTGGCCTCAGTCTTCCCATAGGTGAAATGGGGACTTAGAAGTGATAACTGTAGCTCAATCCTCCAAGTCCTCAAAATGGGTATGGACTCCCAGGGAGGACTCTGGCCTTGCAGAGCATTTGGGTCAGGACAAGAGGCTCCAGACACACAAAAGCCATGAAATCAACATGGGTTGAATAGGATCTGGCACCCAAACACAGCCTGTTCAGGTTCACCAGACTTGAATGGAAATGACCTCTGATGTTTTCCAAAAGTTAAGCATCAAGCCTGGCCTCAAAGGTTGGACTGCTCCAGCTGGGGATTAGGAGGGGAGTGTCTGTGGAGCAGCTCCCGGCTCCCAGGTAAATTCAGGGCCGGGTGGCTTCATGAGATTAAGCAGACAGTTGTGTCAGTGGGGTTCTGAATGTTTGAGTTCTGCAGTTTGGGAAACAAACAAGTTCTTTCTTTGGGACATAGTGTCATCAAGAGGCAGGTCCAAGTGCCCAAGATAGAGGGAGCCCTCAGTACCTATGGGACACAGGGCTGGCAGGTGAGGGACAGTAGGACCAGTGGGGCACAAGTGGCACCACTGTGTGGAGGCCCTTGGGAGTGAGCCAGGCTCCAGGCACCAGCTGCCCCTCCCTCCTGGCTGATGGCTGGTCTCTGGCAGGTACAGCTAGAAGTTCAGAAGAAGTGGCGGCAGTGGAATCTCCAAGGCTTCCCGTTGCGCCCTGTGGCCCTCAGTTTGTCCTTCAGCAATGGGACCAGTGGCCCCACTCATGGCACCAAGGGCAGCCCTTCAGAGCAGAGCCGGGGCATCTGCAGGGCCAGCATCATCTGAGAGGACGGAACGATGCCGACCGTGGACAGAGGTTAAAGCAGGTCCTAGGAGGCTGAACGCTGCCTTGGAACAGACCTGTCTCCCCAGCAGTTGTCCTGTGCTCTCCTTGTGGCTGTAAATGTCCCTCCTCCAGGCCTGGGATGCCTCAGAACCGAAGTGACCAGGGCACCGTGAGACAGGATGAAGGCCTAGGACTTGGTCTGTGTTGCTCTTCTGGGAAGAACGGTTCAGGGGCCCAAGAAAGGAGGCGGGGAAATAAATGGTACCTGGGAAGAGGTCTGCTCTATTTGTCAGTCTTTCTGCCCTGCTAACACAGAGAAGGGAATATGCCCTGGCTTGTTCCCTGGCCACCCGCTGCAGGAAGAGGGCACTTCCCTGGACCCCAGGTCATTTTCAGGGACAAGCTTAGAGGCTCAGAAAGAAAGGACAGTCTAGGTCCTTGGCCCATCTCCCTTTGCAACTCACCTGGCTAGTAGCTCTCACTAGGGCCTTTGGACAATAGATAATTAATCTGATAAAGCCTCAGGACCCTTGACCCTTTTAGTACCTTGACATGGTGTGAGGCTTACCAGTATGGATTCATGTGGGTAGGGGGGGAGGTGCAAGATCAGCATGATCCCACTACAGATGATAAACAGGTTTACCAAAGCCCTGGGCCCTGCTCAAGCTACTCAGCAAGGAGGTGGCAGTTTGGCCCAAGGCCCTTTACTTCAACTGTGCCTGCTCAAGGCTGTGTCTAAACTCTTCCCACTCCCAGGCAGGGTTGGGCAGGGTCTTTCTCCCAGCCCCACTAAGCTCCTGGGGTTGTTGTCTTACCCTTCATTCTGGCTCTAGTTTCCTGTGAATATATCTGCACTGTCTGCCCATATAAGGATGAAAGAAGACAATATACTGGAATCCTTTTACAAAACAAAACCTCACAGGAAGCATTCTGGAGGGAAGTGGAAACTACTTAGTTTAAAGAAAAAAGCATCTTGCTGAGGGGCGACCAGCTCCAGTCCTGGCTTTGGGTGGCTCTCCTGTCCTCTCCCTAAAGACAAGCAAGTCACCTCTTTGCACCTTACAGACCGCTGTAGGGTCCTACTTTCCAAGATAAGATCCAGCCTGTGTGATTGACAAGCTCTGCTCTCTGAAAAACCAACAGCCCTCAGAAGGGGCTGGGTATCTCTCCGTGTTAGAGCACTTGTCTAGCATGCACAAGGCCCTGGGTTCCATCTTAGGGCCACGAAAATCCTCTCAGGTGATCGCTACGGACTCCCTGCATCTTGATAGTTCAAACTTAGTATCTACAGCCTCTGAATCTGTGCATCTTGGAATACAGATTTTTTAAAAAATAACCATAGAAGGGTCAGGCTAGTGGCACACCTCCAAAGTCCCAGCTACTTGGGAAGGCTGAGGCAGGAGGATTGCTTGAGCCCACAAGTTCAAGACCAGCCTTGGCAACATAGTGAGACCCTGGATCAACAACAACAACAACAAAAATCACCACAGGGAGGTAGGATACATGACCAGCCCAGGAGGATACCAAAAACCCATGCAATTGGTAGCAGCCAGAATTCACTAGGTGGGAGGGGGAAGGAATCAGCCTAGAATTAAATGATCTAATAGTCCACTTTTTCAGGGTAGAAAAAGGAACTGGAAAGGATTTTGTTCACCGTGGTGAAAAAAGTACAGACAGATCTTCCTTCCAGCAAGGATGGAAATCTCCATTGCTTCTTGACCCCTTCTCTTCTCCTCATCCCCAGGATGGTTGTTAATCATTACCCAAGGTCTGGCTGTTCCCTTTACCCCCGGTGAAGCCCAGCAGGCCCAGAAACGTGCTCTTTGAAATGTATTCATGTTCCAAAATGGTACCCCAAGGCTGTAGACATGCAAGTGTGCATAAGAGCACACACACAGGCCTTGGGAAAAACAGTGTGCTCCCCGTCAGCTGGGCCTTGCGGGAGGGCTCGCTTAAGGAAAAGGATTCTAACAGGAAGGGCCCCCAGAAGGAACAGCTAACTGATAGAAGCTGGGGTCATCCAGGGCTTGTGTGGTCCCCAAAAGAGTGGGAGAGAAATCAAGTCAAATGGTTTGAAAATGCATTATTTACAAAACATTATAAGAGAAAACACACATGAAGACCCACTGTGCTGGTGAAAGAGTCCTAGGTACTGATTGGTCCCGTTGCTGGAAGAATATCACATTCTTAGCAACCATGAGCTCCAGGCCCCCGCAGCCAATACCCTAAGCATAGAGTCAATAAAATAGGTGTAAACCCCACTTGGCTGAGCAGTTAGCCTAGACACTATTTCCGGAGTTGCTTCAAAATCTACTCCAGTCCAAGGAAGAAAACCCATGAAATGAGTTTTAAAATATTCTTCTTTTAAAATCAATATCCGAATAACTTGACAAAACCTGTGTGTCTGGTGGCACGGAGGCAGGCTCCCGGCCTCTGACCCTCGCAACCAGTTGCAAAAGAGGCAGCAGTTTCAAGATCATTGTCCCACCCCATCTCCACCAGAGGTCACAAGTCAGAAAAGTTCCACCTTGATCACTTTCTTGTGGAATCCAAGGTCCCTGGGGCGGGTGCCAGAATTTCTTTGGTTGGTTCCGGTCTGGGTGATGCTGTTGATGTGAAGGCCACTGATGGCGTTCAGGAAGAAGAGGAACGAGGCAGTGAATTCACACCAGAACATCAGGGTGAAGCCGATGAACGTGACCCGATTCCTGAGGAGGATCACAAAACTCAGGAGCCCCCCGGAGGACAGGATGAAAGAGGCCAGGAGAAGGAAGGAACCAAAAGTCCACTTGCGCCGCGAATGGACGTCCTCACACACCTGGGACACCATGAGGAGCTCAAGGCCAAAGATGGCGGCTACCACAGCCATGGCACTTGCGCTGCGAGCCAGGCCCATGCCCACGGCCAGCCCAGGCACGTGGGCCTGACTCAGGTCTCGGAGGCAGTGTGGCTCGCTCTGGTTGGTAATGGTGCAGAACTGCCACAGTCCAAAGAGGCGGTCCTCAGCCAGAAGCCAGTACCCATCACAGATGGAGACGGAAGAGAGGACCACAGCCAGGGCGGTACAGGTGATGATGAGAGTCCGGATGAAGGTCTCGAAGAAGGACCGGTGGGGCCTCCTTTGGCCCAACAGCCTCTGGGCCTGGAATACAACACAGGAAGCAGCAAGTCAGTGACACCCCATGCCACACCCTCTCTAAATTCTCCAGGGAATACCCAGGCTACCCACTTCCCACAGCACCTGTTTTCTCCTCTGGTCTTATAAAAAGACTGGAATTTTCCCCTGACTCAGCTTCCACAGCACGGACCCCTTTTAGCCTGTCCTCCATTCTAGTCCTGTAAGCATTGCTTGTCCAGCCTCACTAGGCACAGATGGGTCCCTTCCCATTCTTCCTCTCACCATCTCTACAATGAATCCAAAATGGCTGGCAAACCCTACTGAGATCTGAACTCCAAAAACCTGTCTTGCCTGGCTCCTAGGACCTTGAGCATGCAATCTGCTCCAGTCTTTACACAAAACAAGAGCCCTGCTTGTCATGGCTACAGGGTTTTGAGAAGCTCAGAGACATTAGCACATAATTATGTAAGATGGTTTCTCTCCCCACTATACATCCAGTTTTATTCCATGCCCCCCTACCCACCAGGTTCTGTACTTTCTATGTTTGGTCCAGCCTGCATGTGATTATCTTGCTATCCTGACTACTGCAAGAGATGTTTGCACCTTGCCCTTTAACCTTGCTCAGCCTATACTCTACCCAGAGGGGGCCAGTGTCTGTTCTAGCAGCTTTTAGGCATGGGGTGGCCACTGCAGCTCTTGTCTGCTGGTCTCGGCCTTGGAAAAGTGCATGCCTCACCTCCTCAGCCTCCTGGCAAGTGAGCTAGGTGTCTAGTGAGGTGTCTCATAGTCCTGAGTTGCCACCTGAGCCACCACTCCCAACCACTGACCCACAAGGCAAAAGACAGAACTATTACAGAGAGTAAAACTCCTTAGCATAGCCCCCCAGCCTTGCAAGACCTGCCTGCCTCCCTGTCTGACTCCATTTCCCAGTTGGCTCTCCCTCACCACCTTGCACAGGCACCATGGCAGTCCTATTTCCATGCCTAGAACTTTCTTATCTGGGAACTCCTGCCCCCTCTGCCCAACAGGCTCCCTGCAGCTCCCTTGCCCCTCCAGGATGACTGTTTCTCCATAGAGCTGCAGATCTATTTAAAGTCACCTCCCCAGGGAGGACTTTCACCCCACCCAACCCCAAGTAGGTCCTTTCCTGGCATTCTCTGCCAGGCACCCTGTTTGTTTTCTTCCCCATTCCCATGGTGGTTTGTAGTTACACATTACTGTCTGTCTCAATTGGACACTGTGACCTCCAGGAGGGCAGGGTCCCTACATCAAGATACTGCCATGTGCCCAGTACCTGACACAGTGTTTGACTTCTGTATTCAGTAGATACTTGAGGAAGAGCCGTGGGATAGAGTCAGGTTTGCAACCACTGTCACTTCTATCCAAGGCACCTTTAAAAAGAGTCATCTGCCCAGTCATACAGTAAATCACCCCCTTTATCGTGTGTATTAGAAGCAGGCTACACCCCAGTTTGGGAGGTAAGCAAAACAGCTCACACATGATGGTCACAGTTAGAAAAACCAGGAGAATGGAGAAAGGGGACAATGGGTGTGCCTTACACCATGTGCAATGAGACCTAGGCCAATACCATGAGGTAAGTGCGACAAGTGTAGGATATAATGCAAAGCCTTGCTCCTGGGAGACTGGCCAAAACCCTCCCAAGCTGTCTGTTAATGTGATTCAGACACAGGAGGCAACTCTCATTTCCACCCCAGTGACACGAATAGGGATGCAGTGTGCGTTCAGCCCTGCTGCCTAAGTAGCATCCTATTTCTTCTTACACCTAGGAGGATGGTACTATAGAAAGCTACATGCAGAAGGCAGGTGACTTGCCCAGCATCACTCACTCACATCACAATAATGCATATTACAGTTGCTCAGACAGTTGCACAGCGTGCAGGAGGTAGAATTCATTCAGCAATCGATACTGACTTGGGCCTTCATGTTGAAGCCTTGGTATTACTGGTTAGGAAGAAGATTTGAGTACAAAGGGATACTCAAAAGGCCACACCAAAACTAGGACCAGCACCTTCACTGAGATCCCAAGGTGCTGCAGAGAGCACCTAGGCAGGAATGTGCACTGTGGTTATCAATCCATGTCCCCTGGCTTCCTTGAGGGGCTCCAGGCAGGGTGCTGGGTCCCCTTCCTCACTTTA